GATTTTAGGGATTTTGTTCTTGCTTCATAGAATATATGAGTAAGCTAATCAGTCGATCTTAGGCAGTATATATGACATAGTATTTGTTTCTAATTTATGTGTTAATTGGTTTAAGATAGAAAGCTAATAACTAAAATAGGTTACCTCTCAAATACATTCAAGCTGGTTCCTAAGTATATATTTGTTAGCATCAAATTCTTCCAGGTGTTTGGAAACTAGGCTACTTTGTGGTTTTTAAGGACAGACTTTAAAAGCCTTGTGTCAATGGAATAATCTTAAAATCAAAGCCCCACCTTGTCTGCTGTAACAAACCAAAGTAAAACTGTACTCTTAAATTCTGCTTTATATTTTTATGGGACTCTAATCAACTGGATATATTAACTGTGTCATGGGCTGTCTGATGACATTTTGAAGTAGAAAAAGTAAATTGCCTTTTCTATCGTACCCTTTGCCAGACGTTTTCCTACTTTGACTCAAGGCAAACCATTCAATTGAGATGATTCAGTTCGTTACTACAGAGCACATTGAGTAATATTTGTAATTCAGTCATAATTTGGAATATATCCTAACTCTTCTTCTCAGCCCCTCAAAGAAGGAAAAATGCAATTTATGGGTGCTGAATTTGAAATTTACTACAGTAGGATTAGTAATAGACGTCTTTCAGAAATCTATATTTTCACTGGTATATATTCCTTAAGTTTGTTCTGGTGTTCTATTTAAAAGGCAAAGCTTAGATACAGTGAACGATTTCATTCATGTATAAGCTTAATAATTGCATCGTACATGTGACTGCTGAAAAGTAGGGTGCAAAACAGAATACCTCAGCTGGAGGTCCTTTAGATTTAGATTTTTAACATAATTTAAGATTTCACCAGCCCCCAGTAAAACTGCTGAGAACTGAGTCTCTCACAAGCTTCCCTGGTAGATGACATTTCACAAGTGTTGTGTTTGTTGTCAGAGGAATTAAGTGTGACTCTATCAGGAGAGGGCGACTCTTGGAAGTTTACACCTAGACTCCTTTAAACTTTGCCCCATGCACCTTTTTCTTTACCGATTTTGCTTTTTATCCTTTTACTGTATGTAATAAATCATAGCCATGAGCATGACTATATGCTTACTCCTGTAGGTCTCCTAATGAATCACTAGATCTGGATGTTGTCTGGAGGGCTCCTGGCACAGCTTTCCTCTTATAATTTAACTTCAGTGACCTGGGATAAATATATTTATATAATAATTAAATACATTGTTAACATTGTTGGATGGTTACATAGTATAAGAAAAAAAAAAAGAAAGCTACATCTTTATTCCAGTGATACTGTAAACCCTCTAAAACCTGCTCTTTTTCAACTTTGAGTTCTGGATTGTGTCCATGCAATTACTCACGTGTACGGTCTGGTTATTTAGGGACTCAGACCTCAGTCTTCCTGGTTCTCTGTCTTGTTAGGTCTTGAAAGCCCCAATTTTTGTGATCTGAGTGCAAGCAACCTGTGTTTTAAATTAGTTTTATTAGGACACTGAGTTTATAGAGCAAATTTATCTGTCTGGATTTATCATGCTAAGATGATAAGAGAAAATTTGGACTACAGAAATATTGGGAACATAATTATGAGTCTGTCTTTCCCCCTATTTCCTGCACTGGTAGTTTATTTTTTCTTGAACAACAAAGGCTATTTATTTATAAAATATTACCTTTATAAGATCAATTTTTTTACTAACTTTTTAAAATAATCTAGTTTTAAAAAATATGTATAACCAGAGAATTAATACTTTTAACTTTTGCTTTCTATTTACTGCTACTAACTTGAAAATTTTAGATGTGATTTTTTTCCTGAATGTATTTCCCAAGATTTTGTTAAAAAACAAAATGTTCTAGAGTTTGTTTCTTTACTATTTTCATTCTAGATAGTTTACTCCCCTGTAAAATTTTGTGTCCAGTTGACCGTTGAACAACTTGGGGTTTAGATGCACCTACCCCTACTCAGTTGAAATCCACATCTGCTATCTCTGCCTCAAAAACAAAGTAATTGATAAATGACTCACTCAAGCTGAAACAGTTTGGATTAGAATCAGGACTCAAACTATAGTTCTTTTGATTCCACATATTGTGATCTCTAATTGAACACAAACTTTTCCCCACAGTTCGCTAATTTAAAGATCTGTAAAATGAAAATACAGGTACTGTATTTACCGAAAAATATCCACATATTAGTGGACCCACACTGTTCAAACCCATATTGTTCAAGGGTCAACTGAATCTCTTTTCTATCTCCACAGACTACACATCTATTTTATGTTTTATTAATGATTTACATATTCATAAAATATAATAAAATGGATTATTTTGAAAGCACTACAAATTTGATTTGTTCCTATCTGTTTAATCTTGTGGTGATTTTTTTAAAGAATTTTTATGTTGTTTAGACTTTGTTTCAGGTTAAGAGAATTTTAGAGGTCCATAGGATAGAATTTAGTATTTTTTTAACCCATTTGAACTTTTTAATTATATGCTTCATTTTCATTATTGTTTCTTTTCTGATTATCACAGGAAATTCTTTTTCTATTTACTCATACCAAGAATCTGTCTACTCACATAGTTACAGCCAAGTATGTTAAATATAGTTTTATAACTCCTTTTGGTCAAGAAGAAGATAGTTTAAATATTGTAATAACAGGAATCAGTAGGACATTTAGTAACTCCGCCCTTAATCAAGTATGTGATATTGCGCAGTACTTTCTTTTTAATAATTAGATTCACATACCTTCTTTTCTGCTTTTTATTGAATTGCAATATCATTGGCTTTTTTCCTTCTTTTCTCTTACTTTTTCTCTGTAGATATTAGGATGCAGTTTTCACATTTGAATGTGTTTACCTGCCTAACATAAATGTCTAATATTTATGTTAGAAATTGACAGTAAATGTCCATCAGCCCAAGATGGTGATGTAAATTAGTCAATAGGGTTGGTATGAGAATGTGGCGTTGCAGGTACTGGGAGGAACCAGAAAATACATGTTCCATCTTCAGAAATTCAAACTGAAAAATTGAAAGTACAGTTGTCCCTCAACATCTGCAGAAGATTGGTTCCAGGAGCCCCACCATATACCAAAATCCACAGATGCTCAAGTCCCTTATATAAAGTGGCATAGTATAATGAATACTGTGGTCGCTCTGTATCCAAGGATGCTAATCCAAGAATATGGAGGGATGACTGTATATTTATTGAAAAAAAATATAAGTGGACCTGTGTAGTTCGAACCTATGTTGTTCAAGGGCCTATTGCCTTCTGCAAGGTAAACAAAACAGTAATACATGTCAGATCAGGCCCAGGGACAGTCTGTGAACTCTGGTTTACATATTTGTATCTTCATACATCTACCCAAGATATTTAGTTTTTAAACAGGTTTTGTTCCTACTCTGAGGTATTTTGGGCTAAAAATAACTTTTCAGTTTGCCTTTCAGAAGTAAAATATACATTACCAATCAAATGAGAAAAGTATGACCTTTTCAAAATATTGTTTAGAAAGGATTATTGATATGCAAATTTATTCTTTCTGAAATATTCATATAGCAACCTTGTTAAAAAAAAAAGTATAGACATGCTTCCTTTAAATTTTGCAGTGAACCCAAAACTGCTCTAAAAAATAAAGTTTATTAATTTTAAAGAAACTTCAAAAAAATAGAGCAATTTTGATCTATTCATTTCTTTTTGTTAAACAGAATTTTTTCTCTTTAAACCCTAAATGAATATGCATTAATAGAAACATTGGTATATTCTACCTTCATCATGGCTTGGACCTAACAATCTAGAACCTCCGGGCTCCCTTTCATATCAACTGGATTGCTTGGATTTCTGTTTTTTTTTTTCATTTCTTAACTTTGAGTAAGTTTTCAAAACTCAAAGTAACTTATTTAAAGCAGTTAATTACCAATGATACTCATCTTGCCCCAAAGTTTTGATTTACAATTCTGGAGTTGATTGTGATGACTTAATCTCCACTTATGTCAGATGGCTCTTTAATATATAGAAGGTTAAAAAAATTAACAAATTTCAAATGGGTTAAGAAATTGTGTACACTATTACTGCTTTGTCATTAAACTAAATGAGGTATTAAAGTCTTAAGACCGTAGTTATAATGAGATAGAGAACTCAACCATAACTGTATGACTAAAAAAAAAAATACTAATTGATGATGCCTTCTTTTCAATTGTCCAAAATAGCCTTGTTTCATGTGGTGTTTTTAATTGAGTTATAACAGTTCTTTGTTTTCTTTCTGTTTTTATGGATATAGGACTCTTTAACTTGTAGAACTTTTTACTTTATTAAACATGTATATTCTAGTAATTAGGTCTCCTTCTTTTACCCTCACAAAACAAGTCCAGTAAGTATAATACTGCTTATCATATGGTTGATTTTAAAACTCTCTTTTTTCTTTTACTTTTTATTCTGAACTATATCTGTTTTAAACTGTAGAATAAGGAAATATTTTAAGCAAACACTGAAGGCTGAAAGCAGTTTTCTATTGATAATGAAATTATATTTTCTGAAAGGAGAAACTACGTAACTGTGGTTATATTACATGAAAAATCATGATGAAAATTCAGAGATAAGTGACAGACTTTGTGTTTTTGTTTGTTTTTTTCTTTTTTTCTCTTTTTTTAGTAACCAATACTGTGTAGTAATCACTGTATGTTTGCATTGAACAAGACAGAGTCCCTGCACTTTGGACCAGACTGACACATTTTTTCCTTAGGTTTTTCTCAGATATTGAGTGATTTTGCAGCTAAAGAAATTTAACACATTTTCCTATTAGAATGAATTTCATCAAACAAATGAGGTAAATCTTAGTAGTTTCTGTTGTTTATGTGATATATTTCTTTGAACATCATGATTCCTAAGAGAGAGATTTTGATCTTAATTATTACTCTTAGCAAAGGATGTATAAGAATTAAGGAAAATACTATATACATTATGCTTAAATATGTATTTATCTAATATTTTAGCTGGGAAGTTTTAAGATTTCTTCTGTCAAACATAAGATGGTGGTTGGAAGAATATAGATTTGATGGATTTCGTTTTGATGGTGTTACATCCATGCTCTATCATCACCATGGAATAGGTAAGGTAACCTGATACATTACAGATGTAACTAATGATTTTATTTTATTTTTTACTGGAAGATTACAACCAGGCTTGGGGTTCAGTTATGTTGCTGCAGTAGCCATTACTGTTGGATTGATTTTTATTAGTTCCATTGTGTATGTCTTGTCTCTGATCACTTCTGATCCCTTTTTGGCAATACATTGGGTCAAATACATTTTATAAGTAAATAAAATATAATTATTTTCTTTGAAATATATCTACTTAATAATATGCTCTCTTTAATATGTAGCATTCTTTTAAAAATGTTTTTTAAGGATACCATTTATTACAGCACCCTCAGGCTGTGAACATGACAGCAGTTGTAATGAAAAATAAATAACAAAAATAATAAATGAGAACATTTGTTAATGTATGGGTTCCTTTGCATATTAAACATTGAAGAAAATATGTATATTTTAAATATAGATGTGCTCAGTTAAAATTAAATTGTAAATTAATCTGTAATTAAAAATATGGATCAAAGATCTTCAGTTAAAAAGTTGTACAGAGAAGTGGGATCACAGAATCCTAATCCTTCAATCGATAACATGGAGAATAATTATTAGTTTTTTAATGACCAAATATTTACTGGCAACAACCAATCCAAAAAATTGACTTTAGAGTATAAATCAAAAAGTGGCTGCCAAGGAAAGATGCTATATTCAAAGTGTGCTGTTAACTGCTCTCAGTCAAGATGTTGGCCACGTGAAACATTCCTAGGGAAGTTGAATCTATAAGACATGACAGGTTTCATTGATATCTTCCACTTTGGAGAGAAGCTGACTTAGAGGATGAAAAGGGCAAGCAAGACAAAATTCAAAAAGATCCTCTCCTAGATTAAAACATCTACATGCCCCAGCACAACCTCACTGTGCTGAGGGCTAGGTATTTTCCAAGGAATTGTGGAGTTGGTGAAATGGAACTGAAATCCATGGATATGGGATATGCTTTTTATGGGTACAGGGTCCAAGAAATGGTAAAGAAAAACATTCTGAGTTACTTAGCATGCTTTCCCGCTTTGAGATGAGGATAATAACAAATAGTGAGACAGTAGACATTCTTCAAGATGGTGGAGTAGAAGGACGTGCTCTCACTCCGTCTTGCTAGAACACTGGAATCCCAACTAACTGCTGAACAATCATCGACAGGAAGACACTGGAACTCTTGAAAAAAGATACCCCACATCCAAAGACAAAGGAGAAGCCACAATGAGACGGTAGGAGGGGTGCAATCACAATAAAATCAAATCCCATAACTGCTGGGTGGGTGAATCACAAACTGAAGAACACTTATACCACAGAAGTCCACCAACTGGAGTGAAGGTTTTGAGCCCCACAGCAGGCTTTCCAACCTGGGGGTCTGGGAATGGGAGGAGGAATTTGTAGAGAATCAGACTTTGAAGGATAGCGAGATTTGATTAGAGAACTTCAACAGGACTGGGGAAAACAGACTCCGCTCTTGGAGGGCACACACAAAGTAGTGTGCGCATCGAAACCCAAGGGAAGGAGCAGTGACTCCATAGGAGACTGAACCAGACCTACCTGCTAGCGTTGGAGGGACTCCTGCAGAGGTGGGGTGTGGCTGTGGCTGACCACGAGGATAAGGACACTGGTAGCAGAAGTTCTGGGAAGTACTCCTTGGTGTGAGCCCTCCCAGAGTCCGCCATTAGCCCCACCAAAAAGACCGGGAAGGCTTCAGAGTTGGGTCACCTCAGGCAAAACAAACAACAGGGAAGGAACTCAGCCCCACCCATTAGCAGATAAGGGGATTAAAGTTTTATTGGATTCTGCCCACCAGAAGAACAGCCATCTCTACCCACCAGCAGTCCCTCCCATCAGGAAACATGCACGAGCCTCTTAGATAGCCTAATCCAACAGAGGGCAGAGAGCAGAAGCAAGAAGAACTACAGTCCTGCAGCCTGTGGAACAAAAACCACATTCACAGAAAGAGAGACAAGATGAAAAGGCAGAGGGCTATGTACCAGATGAAGGAACAAGATAAAACCCCAGAAACCGACTAAATGAAGTGGAGATAGGCAACCTGCCAGAAAAAGAATTCAGAATAGTGATAGTGAAGATGATCCAGAAGCTAGGAAAAAGAATGGAGGCAGAGATTGAGAGGATGCAAGAAATGTTTAACAAAAACATAGAAGAGGGGGCTTCCCTGGTGGCACAGTGGTTGAGAGTCCACCTGCCAATGCAGGAGATGCGGGTTCAGGCCCCGGTCCGGTAAGATCCCACATGCTGCGGAGTGGCTGGGCCCATGAGCCATGGCCGCTGAGCCTGTGCATCCAGAGCCTGTGCTCCACAGCGATAGAGGCCACAACAGTGAGAGGCCCATGTACCACAAAAGAAAAAAAAAAAAAAAGACCTAGAAGAATTAAAGAACAAACAAACAGAGATGAACAATACAATAAGTGAAATGAAAAATACACTAGAAGGACTCAATAGCAGAATCACTGAGGCAGAAGATCGGATAAGTGACCTGGAAGACAGAATGGTGGAATTCACTGCTGCAGAACAGAATAAAGAGAAAACAATGAAAAGACATGATGACAGTCTAAGAGACCTCTGGGACAACATTAAACACAGCAACATTGGCATTATAGGGGTCCCAGAAGGAGAAGACAGAGAGAATGGACTCGAGAAAATATTTGAAGTGATTATAGTCGAAAACATAGCTAACATGGGAAACGAAATAGCCACCCAAGTCCAGGAGGTGCAGAGAATCCCATACAGGATAAACCCAAGGAGAAACACACTGAGACACATAGTAATCAAATTGGCAAAAATTAAAGACAAAGAAAAATTATTGAAAGCAGCAAGGGAAAAACGACAAATAACATACAAGGGAACTCCTATAAGGTTAACAGCTGATTTCTCAGCAGAAACTCTACAAGTCAGAAGGGAGTGGCATGACATATTTAAAGTGATGAAAGGGAAGAACCTACAACCAAGATTACTCTACCTGGCAAGGATCTCATTCAGATTTGATGGAGAAATCAAAAGCTTTACAGACAAGCAAAAGCTAAGAGTATTCAGCACCACCAAGAAATCAAAAGCTTTACAGACAAGCAAAAGCTAAGAGTATTCAGCACCACCAAACCAGCTCTAGAACAAATAGTATAAAACTTCTGTAAGTGGGAAGAACAAGAAAAGAAAAGGACCTACAAAAAGCAAACCCAAAACAATTAAGTAAATGGTAATAGGAAGATACATATCAATAATTACCTTAAACGTGAATGGATTAAAAGCCCCAAACAAAAGACACAGGATTGCAGAATGGATACAAAAACAAGACCCATATATGCTGTCTACAAAAGACCCATTTCAGACCTAGGGACACACACAGACCAAAAGTGAGGGGATGGAAAAAGATATTCCATGCAAATGGAAATCAGAAGAAACCTGGAGTAGCAATACCCATATCAGATAAAATAGACTTTAAAATAAAGAATGTTACAAGAGACAAGGAAGGACACTACATAATGATCAAGGGATCAATCCAAGAAGAAGATATAACAATTATAAATGTATATGCACCCGACATAGGAGCACCTCAATAAATAAGGCAACTGCTAACAGCTATAAAAGAGGAATTTGACAGTAACACAATAATAGTGGGGGACTTTAACACCTCAACACCAATGGACAGATCATTCAAACAGAAAATTAATAAGGAAACAGAAGCTTTAAATGACACAATAGACCAGAGAGATTTAATTGATATTTATAGGACATTCCATACAAAAACAACAGATTACACTTTCTTCTCAAGTGCTCATGGAACATTCTCCAGGATAGATCACATATTGGGTCACAAATCAAGCCTCAGTAAATTTAAGAAAATTGAAATCATATCAAGCCTCTTTTCTGACCACAATGCTATGAGATTAGAAATGAACTAAAGGGAAAAAAACGTAAAAAACACAAACACATGGAGGCTAAACAATACGTTACTAAATAGCCAAGAGATCACTGAAGAAATCAAACAGGAAATCAAAAAATACCTAGAGAAAAATGACAATGAAAACACGATGATCCAAAATGTATGGGATGCAGCAAAAGCAGTTCTAAGAGGGAAGTTTATAGTTATACAAGCCTACCTCAAGAAACAAGAAAAATCTCTAATAAACAATGTAACCTTACACCTAAAGGAACTAGAGAAGGAAGAACAAACAAAACCTAAAGTTAGCAGAAGGAAAGAAATCATAAAGATCAGAGCAGAAATAAATGAAATAGAAAGAAGGAAAACAATAACAAAGATCAATAAAACTAAAAGCTGGTTCTTTGAGAAGATAAACAAAATTGATAAATCATTAGCCAGACTCATCAAGAAAAAGAGGGAGAAGACTCAAATCATTAAAATTTGAAATAAAAAAGGACAAGTTACAACAGACACCGGAGAAATACAAAGCATCCTACGAGACTATTACAAGCAACTCTATGCCAATAAAATGGACAACCTGGAAGAAATGGACAACTTCTTAGAAAGGTATAACCTTCCAAGACTGAACCAGGAAGAAATAGAAAATATGAACAGACCAATCACAAGTAATGAAATTGAAACTGTGATTAAATATATTGCTAGAAACAAAAGTCCAGGACCAGATGGCTTCACAGGTGAATTCTACAAAACATGTAGAGAAGAGCTAACACCCATCCTTCTCAAACTCTTCCAAAAAATTGCAGAGGAAGGAACACTCCCAAACTCATTCTATGAGGCCACCATCACCCTGACACCAAAACCAGACAAAGATACTACAAAAAAAGAAAATTACAGACCAATATCACTGATGAATATAGATGCAAAAACCCTCAATAAAATACTAACAGACAGAATTCAATAGCACATTAAAAGGATCATACACCATGATCAAGTGGGATTTATCCCAGGGATGCAAGGATTCTTCAATATACGCAATCAATCAAAGGGATACACCATATTAAAAAACTGAAGGAGAAAAACCATATGATCATCTCAATGGATGCAGAAAAAGCTTTTGACAAAATTCAACACCGATTTATGATAAAAAATCTCCAGCAAGTGGGCATACCAGGAACCTACCTCAACATAGTAAAGGCCATATATGACAAACCCACAGCACACATCATTCTCAATGGTGAAAAACTGAAAGCATTTCCTCTAAGATCAGGAACTAGACAAGGATGTCCACTCTCACCACTATTATTCAACATAGTTTTGGAAGTCCTAGCCATGGCAATCAGTGAAGAAAAAGAAATAAAAGAAATACAGAATGGAAAAGAAGAAGTAAAACTGTCACTGTTTGCAGATGACATGATACTCTACATAGAGAATCCTAAAGATGCCACCAGAAAACTACTAGACCTAATCAATGAATTTGGAAAAGTTGCAGGATACAAAATCAATGCACAGAAATCTGTTGAATTCCTATACACTAATGATGAAAAATCTGAAAGAGAAATTAAGGAAACACTACCATTTGCCTTTGCAACAAAAAGCATAAAATACCTAGGAATAAACCTACCTAAGGAGACAAAAGACCTGTATGCAGAAAACTATAAGACACTGATGAAAGAAATTAAAGATGATACAAACAGAGAGATATACCATGTTCTTGGTTTGGAAGAATCAATATTGTGAAAATGACTATACTACCAAAGCAATCTACAGATTCAATGCAATCCCTTTCAAATTACCAATGGCATTTTTTACAGAACTAGAACAAAAAAATCTTAAAATTTGTTTGGAGACACAAAAGACCCCAGATAGCCAAAGCAGTCTTTAGGGAAAAAACTGGAGCTTGAGCAATCAGGTTCCCTGACTTCAGACTATACTACAAAGCTACAGTAATCAAGACAATATGATACTGGCACAAAAACAGAAATATAGATCAGTGGAACGGGATGGAAAGCCCAGAGATAAACCCATGCACCTATGGTCAACTAATCTATGGCAAAGGAGGCAAGGATATACAGTGGAGAAAAGACAGTCTCTTCAATAAGTGGTGCTGGGGAAAGTGGACAGCTACATGTAAAAGAATGAAATTAGAACACTCCCTAACACCATACACAAAAATAAACTCAAAATGGATTAGAGACCTAAATATAAGACTGGGCACTATGTAACTCTTAGAGGAAAACATAGGAAGAACACTCTGATGTAAATCACAGCAAGATCTTTTTTGATCTGCCTCCTAGAGTAATGGAAATAAAACCAAAAATAAACAAATGGGACCTAATGAAACTTCAAAGCTTTTGCACAAGAAAGGAAACTATAAACAAGACAAAAAGCCAACCCTTAGAATGGGAAAAAATATTTGCAAATGAATCAATGGACAAAGGAGTAATCTCCAAAATATATAAACAGCTCATGCAGCTCAACATTAAAAAAACAAACAACCCAATCCAAAAATGGGCAGAAGACCTAAATAGACATTTCTCCAAAGAAAGTATATAGATGGCCAAGATGCACATGAAAAGCTGCTCAACATCACTAATTATTAGAGAAATGCAAATCAAAACTACAGTGAGTTATCACCTCACACCAGTTAGAAGGGGCATTATCAGAAAATCTACAAACAACAAATGCTGGAGAGGGTGTGGAGAAAAGGGAACCCTCTTTCACTGTTGCTGGAAATGTAAATTCATACAGCCACTATGGAGAACAGTATGGAGGTTCCTTAAAAAACTAAAAATAGAATTACCATATGACCCAGCAATCCTACTACTGGGCATATACCCAGAGAAAACCATAATTCAAAATGATACATGCACCCCAATGTTCATTGCAACACCGTTTACAATAGCCAGGTCATGGAAGCAACCTAAATGCCCACTGACAGACAAAATCCTCCCTTTTCTTCAGAGGGATTGAATAGGAGCTAGCTAACATTAAGATCTCTTAGTGTGACAAAAAATGTATCTAAAACAAAATTTATGAATCTCTTTGGTATCATTTTTTATTTTTTAATTTATTTCTTTTATTTATATATTTTTTGGCTGCGTTGGGTCTTCGTTGCTACGTGCGGGCCCTCTCTAGTTGTGACGAGCGGGGGCTGCTCTTAGTTGCAGTGCATGCGCTTCTCATTGCGTGGCCTCTCCCGTTGTGGAGCATGAGTTCTAGGCACGCAGGCTTTAGTAGTTGTGGCACTCGGGCTCAGTAGTTGTGGCACACGGGCTTAGTTGCTCCACAGCATGTGGGATCTTCCCGGACCAGGGATTGAACCTGTGTCCCCTGCATTGGCAGGAGGATTCCCAACCACTGCGCCACCAGGGAAGCCCTCTTTGGTATCATTTTACTTCATTTTTCTCCTGTAAAATTCAGTTCAAATTAAATTAAAATTTTAAATCACAGCGTTTTTGTGTTTGTAAAGCAAAAATTGAATTGCGGGATTGTCTGAACTTTGAATGTAGATATGGAGTACTTTTGTAAGTTAAATCATATAATTGCTGGCTCATGACATTTTGCTATGATAACAAAACTGATATCAGCCATCTAATTGGTGGAGGCATTTGTGCAGAGTTAAGACTTGCATGCTAAGATGATGCATCCATATTGGTTTTCTGTTCTCTAGGTCAGAATTTTTCCGGTGACTACCATGAGTATTTTGGACTACAAGTAGATGAAGACGCTTTGACTTATATCATGTTGGCAAATCATTTGGTTCACACGCTGTATCCAGATTCTATAACAATAGCTGAGGTAAAGCTATAATGATCTCTACCCTCTGACCCCCTTTAAAATAGAACATTTTGTCAGCATACAATATTTGAATGATCTCTATGTTGTCAATAATTGCATAAGTGCAATTATACCCTGACTATAGTGCAGCTACCTTGTGTGGGTGGCACATTATTCAGAATTCACTGTTTTCCTATTATCAGATAGTGTACCCTAATTACTTGTCATTATTCCATTGTTAAAAAAGAAACTGCCGGTGGTTAGAAAGTAAAATACCCTCATCAGTGGACAGGTCCTTTTGCCATGTGACCTTCAGCACAGAAAAGAATTGAATATTAATATGCGTCTGGCTATTTAAGTTTTTTTTTCCTTTCTGGTTTAATCATTAGAGATGGCATGGATCACTGCCTGCGAGCTTCTCTGAAACCTCTCTTGTTCTGATGCGATTACCTTTCTTGTTTACGTTATTGCTCTGAAATTGCCAAATGTTCACTACTTATTCATGATTCCTGAAGGTTCATGATTAACTGTCCCAAAGCTGCACTGTAATGATATAATTCGGTATATGCATAATTGACAATTCCCCTCTTGGTGATAAATTTGATAAATTAAGAAGTTTGTTAAATGCTTATGCTAATTTATATTTAGTAGTAAAGTCCCTCTGGTTTTGTGAGTCCTCTAACTAGGAATTATTATTAAAATTGAACTTAGTGTGTTAAAACTGTTCTATACAAAGTGTAGTGGTTGGCATATAAAAGTAGTAAGCCTATTGAAAGAGTCAGAGTTAAGGTGTATTTTCACATTTTTGGCATTTTGTTCATTGGAATGATATGCAGTAGTGACAGTCTCCTTCCTGTAGTGTTTATTATTTGTATAGCCTTTTTTCTATACATCATCTCTCAAAACTCCAAATCTCAAACTAGGTGATATGATTTTCTGGTTTATCTCTGGATCGAGAACAGAGACCTTTTGCCTCCTAAATATCTTCTAGGAATAGAGCAATAGATCCTAAATTTCTGGAGTAAATTTTCATATAAAATTTAAAAAACCCACAATTACAATGCCATTTTGATACTCTGTATTGTTTCACAATCTCTACCTACCTATATTTGGTCATAACTTAGAAGTCTTTTTAGTACTTATGCTAACACTTTCTGTGCTGAATATTTTTAATGTAAATTAGTATTTTTAAACTTTTATTTTGTCTTTATATATTTTAATATTATCTGTTAAACATCAAAAAAATTAGTTTTGTCAATTATATTTATGGCAATTTGAAGCCGAGACATTATATATAACAAATTACTACAATTAATGACAGCACAAATCAGAAGTGGGTACTGAAGAAAAAGAAGTAATTATTTAATACATGAAACTTAAAATTGTTACATTGATCTTTCCATTCATTTCAAGTAAAATAGTTTCATCATCTAGGGAGCTCTTGTCTGATTATCAGTGTTTCTACCAAGGAAACTTTGAGACTTTAGCCTACTTTATATTACTTGGTTTTAGATATTTTTAAAACACAATGTGTCTTCAATTTATTCTACTTAAATTGAAAACTACTTCAATTTCAATACATCACTTTTCTGTCTAGTGGGAGTCTCTTCAAAATGTGGAATTGATCCTCATGAACTTTCTTTTTTTAAGAAAGGAATGTGGTGTAATGAATAAGTAATGCAATGTCATACATAAAGTCCTGTAGTAGAAATTTGAATTTATTTATAATGTTAGTTATTAAAATTGAAGCCTTTTTTCTATATATCTACTATTATACATGGTTATATTTGCTGTATTAATTAAAAATATTTTTTTGATGACTGAGGCTTTTTCCCCCTCTGGAATAGTCCTGAGTCATCTTTAGATATTAAAGAAATAAAACTATTTTAACTTCATTTGAAACATACATGATCATTTTAATATCCTATGTCATAAGCATCAACTCCTTTGTATTTAAAGCATATTTATTTTAGTGACCATTATGTTTACTTATTTTTTTTTCTTTTAAGATTTTAAAAGAATAGTCATTAACTCTGTACTTCCAGAAGAGAGCTAGAAATATCTCATATGCATTAATGGGGCAGCCTTCTAGGAGTCAGATTTAGGAGTTAAGACCAATTGGTGTCCAAATATTTTTCTTAGCAGATTCTATTTCCTTTCAAACTATTTGCTAAAACTACCTGTAGACCGAATGTAGACTGTACCTTAATGTTTTCTTGAGAAAAATTATCTTGATCTTTAATGCCATCTTATCACCAGTCTTAGGAAAACTCTGGGTCTTATGAAAATTCTTTTGGGAAGGCATTGTGTCTGTAATTCCAGTGCCTAACACAGGTGCCTGAGATTTAATACATATTCAGCCAGTGTTTATAAGGAATTGAACTGAATACCTATCATATCTGTGAAAATGTGACATATTTTGATAAATATAATTCTTTTAAAATGGTTTCTTTTCTGTTAAACATTCATCCTTTTTCACTTTTTTTAATTCATCTTTTCTCACTTTTACAAACTATAAGGAAGTATGTAGAATACTTTCTTATGGATGTATTCCACCATGTACTATATTTAACTGTAGCTCTCTTCCATTAGAAAATAATTAATACATATTTTGGAAGTCCAGAGAGGTTATATGTTTCTTTTTTTTCCAGCTTTTCTGTAGGACGAGTTTGAGGATGAGGTGTTGTGGAAGAAGAAACAGTTAAGTCTCAGAGAGCTCAGAGTATGTTATATAGTCTTTCATAGGAAGTAAGGAAAATGTTCCAAAGAAGAATTTGGGCGATGACACACACAGAAAAGCTTGTGACAAGTACAGGGAAGAGTAAATGTTTCAAAGTGGATGAGGTATTGAATATTTGAAATGAAATAGTAGAAATAATGATGGAAAGATAGAGGTCTCATCCTTGCACTTTCTGTGTACTTCAGCTAACAATTATGACAGCCATGCACGTTGTCATTTCGTGATAAGTGTATGTGTGTGCATGTTCATTTAGGTCCTAGTTCATGAATCCAGCAAGTCAGGTATTATGTCATGTACCTTGAAATCCTTGGCAGCACCTTCATGCATTCACTCAGCAGGGAGTTACTGAGTTCCTGCCTTATGCCAGCGACTCTTCTACTATTCTAGACTCCTGGCATGTCAGTGGACAATGGCAACAGCAACAGCAACAAAAGTCCTGCTTCACGGATCTTAAATTTTAACAGTGAATGAGGAAGCCGATAATCAAATAGTGAACTATATTGTCAACGCTTAAAGTATAATTGTTGAATTATATCTTAAATTGAAGAATTTGAGTTTTTTATTGTTGGCTATTGAAAGCTATCGGCAAGCAGTGATAGGAGCAGACTCTTCAGCAGCAATTAGGGTAAAGAGAAACTGGAGATGGGGAACTTTGTTTGGAAACATAGTGGTTGAAGCAAACAGTAATGTAGGTTAAATAAGATAGTGTCTGTAGAAATAGAGCAAAGGAAAATAATTTATTGGAAAGATATTGTGGAGTTAGAATTACTAGTACTTGTCCCATATTTTACCACAGTTGTTATAATAATGTATTTTGTTGCATCTGGGTCCTTGTACCATTATTTTTTTACTTATCTGTTTGATTGTATATTTATTTGATTACCGATAATCTAGTGGTTTCATGACAGTAGGAAGACCCTGTCAAAAGGCCAGATGTCTGAGTCCTGGCTCTACCATGGAGAAACATGTCTTTAGCGATCCCTTCACCTCAATAAGCCTCGATTTCTGTGTCTTCTAAATGAAGAGAATCCACTAGATAACCTCAAAGACCATTTCCAAGTGTAACTGACTATAGTGAAAGCCATCTTGCTGCTTCGCTCTTAGTGTGCTAACTCTACTTTCCATTTCATCAGAAGCTAAGTTCTCACAAAATACACTATATGTCTGTGCTGTATACAAAGAGAACAAGAATAACAGATATATGGCACATGTATTTTTATGTTTGATGAAAGCAGTAGTTAATAAATATAGTACTCAAAAATTAGTATAAGAAGCTATGTTTCAACAATAACACTTTTACTATTTTGTGTTCTCTATGTGCTACTAAGGAAAAGAGATCAAATTTTTCCTGAAATGAAAAGCATTACACAAAATCTTATTGGGAAATGAGATACATTATCACAATTTTATCTACTTTTACAGTTATGCTACCAAAGTACTCCAAGAGTATTCGCCCCTATTTATTGTTTGTATTTATTGGCCTGGATTTTACTGTCAGAAGAATATATAGTAAAAATTTAAGCAATATGAACTGATAATTCTGATGCTCTTTATTTTAGGATGTATCAGGAATG